TTAATTTTTTTTTATAATTTAAATTATATAATATTTTTATAATAAGTTAAATTATTAAATGAGGAACCATTCTCTTATATTGTAAGGCATTCTTTTACCTTTCTCACGTGACATGCACGCACTCTCAACGTGCTACCCTTCATCCGATTTTCCAAACTTACCCTTCTGCGTCACTATTTTTCCCAAAACACCCTCACCTACATTTATGGTCTTTTCCTCCATACGTCACAGTCAGTTAGGTGAGCACCTTCCTCTGACTCTTTATCCACTAGTATTTCTCCACGTGGCAGAAATCGACGCACTCTGAAAAGTCAGACTCCCATCTGCCCGACACGTGTCCTCAGGGAAAGATACCCTCCGTGTCTGAAAATCTAAAGACTAATTCAAAAGCTCTCTGTCCCTCCCTTTCAAGTCTCCTGCTTTCCTTTCTCTCTAAAATCTCACTTAGGGTTTCTTTGCAGTGAAGACTGAAGGGTTTCTCGAAGAAGATTCAGCTGCAGAAAGGGAGGTTTGAGGTATTCTTTACAATTTCTTGGAAATTTGTTGCTGTTTTGTGTTTTGAAGTCTGCCCTCTTGTTTGGTTGCTTAGAAAAGAAAAGAAAAAGAAAATTTATAGTTCATTATTGAAGTGGGTTTTGCTTTGTCTCTACTAATCTGAGCTGAAATATTGGAATTATTGGTAGAGTCATAAAAAGGTTCTCTTTTTTATATTTTGTCTTCAGTTTTCTTCATATCTCAGTGAGCAACCAGTACGGCAGTACTTGTTTTTGTTCTTTACATGCACGGTGTTCTTAACATCTTGCATGCTTTAATTTAGCAGAAATTGAAGGAAGTTCCGATAAGGAGTGGTATCTAGAAGTGAAAAAGTTAGTCTTTTAGTTTGGTCTTTTGGGTGATGTTGTTTTGGATCCTATGTTGATATACTCTTCAATTGCAAATGCTCGATTCTTATTGGGTTAACGAATGTCTTGCTTTTCATGGTTTAGGTTTCAGTTTATGCTATTTTACATGGAACCATCACTATGCCGACAAGATGAGTCATTACAATATGCTTGGTTTTAAGTGTGGTTAATTGGATTGATTAGATCTTCGTTTAACCGTTTTTCTCCACAACTTATGAAGTTCTACTTTCTTATGTATAGAAAGTTTGTTTTGGATCAATTATAAGTGTTGATGCCATATGTTGTGTGAAGAGAATATAAGGATAATATTAGAGGCAAAGCAATTGTAAGAATGATTTGGGAGATCTATGACTTGAAATTTTACTGCTCAAGAGAACACCATGGGACTGTATCAATGTGAACCATTATAGGCTTTAGGATTTTCAAGAGAATTCAGGGTTGAAAACTCCTAATTAGAGTTAGGTTCAGCGTGTTTGAAACTTAAAAGAGGATTCAGAGTTGTCATAAAGTCCTAAATTCTTGTGCTCAACTGTATTATACTAGTACTAGAGTTTAAGTGGTGGGATTACTTTAGATATAAATGTTGGTAACTCATAGGCTCATTTGATTAATTTATTTAAATATTTCACATCCTGCAAATGGCTTTGTACGATGATTCTATACAAGACACCAAAAAGCAGCAGAATTGCTGGTAGTCAAGTCAATTATTTCTAGTGATTTAGTACAGAACTGTTTATCCATTAGATTCTAGTGCATTTGCTATCCTCAGATGATTCTGCATGCCTCCTTTCTAGATTTGGTGATTTGCACTAGTGTGATATAGGGTTTAGCAAAGAAGCTAGTGCTTAGCTATTATAGGGTTTCCTTTTAGATGGTTTTGATCCTACTAACGAGTTAAAATTACAAATTGTCCACGGCTTTCTATATTTGGTGATTTGCACTAGTCTTAATATCTAATAGTAGTTTGTTTCTTCAAATTCTGTGTTAATTTATTGAAAATGAGTGTTGATGAAATACTTACATTGAACTGGTAGCAGCGTTTTTGTCTGTCTAGCCTTTATAGTTCAATTCATTGTAGGAAGAGAGTCATGGTGACATCTATTCATTTTTACTACTGCAAAATCGCGTTACTGATATTGATGGTATGGCAGAATCAAAGAGTAAGGATAGCTTGTTCTTACCACTGTTCATTTTCCCGTAGAAGAGCTCCTCATTAACAACTTGATTTAACCCATGCATGTGTTAGCTAATTTGGTTTAAGTCAGTTCATATAGCTGTTATTTAGCGTCAATTTGCACAAAATCCTGAAAATTCTGTTGCAAAGTACATGTCTTTGCACTTATTCTGTTTCTCATTTAGATATAATGTCAAAGTATAATAAATACATGGTAATGTACCATGCCATTTCTACTTGTAACAGTACAGTAATGAGAAGATAGAACAAGGGTCGAGGATACTTGTACAATACTGGCCATGGATCCAGCAGAGCAAACACAACAGCAACAGCAATCACAGCAGCCTGTGATAGGAGTTGTAGCTGGTGCAGGCCAGATGAGCTATGCCCCAAATCCCTACCAAACTTCTCCCATGATGGCTTCTGGTGCACCTACAGTAGCTTTGCCTTCCCCTACTCAACCGCCAACCACATTCTCTAATTCCCAACACCAACTTGCCTTCCAACAAGCTCAGCACTTCCACCACCAACAGCAGCAGCAACAGCAGCAGCAGCTTCAATTGTTCTGGGCCAACCAAATGCAAGAAATCGAGCAAACAAACGACTTCAAGAACCACAGTCTCCCACTTGCTCGGATCAAAAAGATAATGAAAGCTGACGAAGATGTCCGGATGATATCAGCAGAGGCTCCAGTCATCTTCGCAAAGGCATGCGAAATGTTCATTCTGGAACTGACTCTTCGCTCCTGGATCCACACAGAAGAAAACAAAAGGAGGACACTACAGAAGAATGATATCGCAGCTGCAATCTCAAGGACTGACGTCTTTGATTTCTTGGTTGACATTATCCCGAGAGATGAACTGAAAGAGGAGGGTCTAGGAGTCACAAAGGCTTCCATTCCTGTGGTGGGTTCACCTGCCGAAATCCCATACTACTACTTCCCTCAGCACCATGTTGCACCCACAGGAACAATCATGGGAAAGCCAGCCGATCAAGCTGCACTCTACACCGGCCAGCAACCTCGACCACCAGTGCCTTTCATGCCATGGTCACAGGGCCAACCGCAGCATCAACAACCACAACAGCAAGAGAGTGATTCTTGATTTCGCAAAGCAAGCAAAGTAGCAAATCAATGTAGTAGGCATATTATCATGCAGCTCTTTATAAGTTAAATTATCAGTACATCCGCTAGTTGCCTAGTAGGGATGAAAACCACCAAAATCTGGGGCAGTTGTGAGTTTGTAACATTACCTATTTCTCTAGATTTTTCCTGTTGTGTGCTTCTTCCGAAGAAGATGATAAAAGACAAGTTATTATTATTATTATTTTATAGCTGAGAAGAGTTTATACATCAATCAACATTCACCACGAGATCTCATATTTGAAGAAAATTAACAAATAAGAAAAAGAGAACAGGAAGAATTCGGGCAGGAGCTTAAAAATTGACAAATCCATTATGTAGAAATTGAAAATTGATTAGCAAAGAAAGGATTAAAGAGTTTACTATAATTGCAGGGCAGGTAAAGATACGAACCCTAATTCCATTCTAATCCAACAGTAACTCAATTCCTGAATTCAGATATGTATTTTACGGTACCCAAACACATATAAAAGAACCAGAAAAGTCACCAATCACTGCATTTCATCGCCATTATCAGGATCGACTCCCTCGAACGCCCAGGCATTCTCACTCCTGATCTTCGCCTCCTCCTCCGGTGTGAAGTCGCTCTCGATTCCGAAGAACCTCCTCACGTACTCGACGCTTTTGTTCTTGATCCTGTTCGCCACCTCCTGATTCAGAACGTCAAGAAGATGCTTGATATTAAGATAGTTGGAAGCCAAGATCAATTCCTTCAGGTCGTCGTCCTTCTGCTCCTTGACGAAATCGGCGTCGTACCTCTTGGAATCAGATTCGCCGCGGGCTTTGAGCTCGATATGATTCTTGCAGTAGGCGATGATCTTGACGAGTGGATCGGCGCAGACGTTGGGAAGGGGAACGACGATGTCGTCAGTGGCGTCAGTGTTCTCATCAAAGAAGGATTTCACGGTGGTGAATTCCATGGCGACGTCCTCTTCAACGTCGAAGAGCTGGCCGTCCGCCGTCCTCAAAGTAATCTTTTTGAGAGGGGGTTGAGTCTCGGGGGCCGACATTTTGAACGAACGATTGAAATTCCAATGAGGGTTTTCTGCAAAGAGAAGAGAGGAAGGGTTTGGGAATGGGACAAATGAGGAAAAGGAGGGGCCTTATTATAGTTTTGAGGTTGGGGCCTGGGCTAGGGCCCACTGCTAATTTCCTTTGGTTTTATTTATTTCGTGTCTTATATAGCACACTATAAAAAAAAAATTTTTTTTTTACTTTAAAATTATTTAATTTATTTTTTTTTTTATTTTTAATTTTTGCTTTTTATTTTTTTTTTTGTTCTTTCAAAATTGAAATTATAATTTATTTTTTAATTTAAAATTTCATGAATATTTTTTAAAATAATTATTATTAATTAATAATTACCCTTAAAATACAAGATAAATAAACCATTCTTCTTTTTATTGGGTCGAGTATGGAGAAGTAAATTAAGATTAGCATCAATATCTTAGAAATCCTGTAAGGATTATATGAATAAATATCCTTTCCTTTTCTGAAAAGTAATATATAAATGTAAACAAAAATA